GTGCGGAATCAGCAAGGCGCGGCGGGCAAACCACCAGGACCTCATAGCCGTTGTGCGCGCTGAGCTCATGAAGCTGGACTTGCGTAGCATGTCCTTCGAGGAGGTCAAGGACAAAAGCCTGACCATTCGAGAGCTCGCGGTGAACCGCGGGCATGCCCATAGTCCTCAGGACAGACTGAAAAAAACATATGTCCGAGCCCAAATTGTGTCTGTTACTCGCTACGACTCGACGCGCTCTTCTGCCAACGCTAGGACGTGGACTAGAGTGACCCGCTCGAGAGCGACTCGAGACAGGAGACCCCCGGTTCGTGTCGAGGGGGTGTCAGGCCAGTGCTATGCCGTGTCTGTTGTCCACATAGGCCTTGATTTTCGTTTTCTTGAGTCAAAACATGTCTACTTCAGGAAGCCTTTGGCTCCTACATGTGTCTGCTTGCAAATCTTGATTGTGTTTGAATTCTTTGCAGGGTAGACCTTTGGACACTTTGAAGTCCAGGAAGCCTTGGGCTCCTACATGCATCTGCTTGCACATCTTCATTGTGTTTGATTTCTTTGCAGGGTAGATCTTTGGACACTTTGAAGTCCAGGAAGCCTTGGGCTTGTACATGCATCTGCTTGCACATCTTCATTGTGTTTGAATTCTTTGCAGGGTAGATCTTTGGACACTTTGAAGTTCAGGAAGCCTTGGGCTCCTAGCATGACCACGTCAACAAGTATTATCAACGTGAATCAAGCTTTGGTGTCGTAGTGCGGTCAGCTCGAGCTAGGTGTAAGCTAAGGGCTATTAGTAGCCATGGGTAATGCACCGTCGAGCTCCCGATCGAGCGCGACCAATGAGGGCGTGGAGGTTGCGCTGCGCATACTCGAGGCAGCCCGGCGGGCAGGGCAGCTGAGTCCGCAGCAGCCGCAGCCGGCGCAGCAGCCGCAGACCCCGCAGCCTGTGCCGCCGCCGATGCAGCAGCCTGTGCCGCAGCCAGTGCCGCAGCCTCCGCCTCAGCCGATGCCGCAGCCTCCGCCTCAGCCGATGCCGCAGGCGGCATACGTGATGCCCCCGCCACCGATGTTTCCCTCCTCGTGGCGACCTACCGCCATGCGTATGTGGCCGACAGGGCCCACTTGGACCAGGGTTTGCTTATGGTGTGGCCAAGAGAGCTACGTCCGACAGGGCTGCTGTTTGAACCCGATGTGCGCTCCTTGGATTGCATACTTTTAGTTGACGCGACCCCCCTAATTGTTTACTCACCACAAACCAAATGTTTGTTCACTTGGCCGTATTGGTGTGGCTGACAAAGGAAGCGACCCGCTCCTGTCTTTTCTTCTGTGACATGTGTTAATTCGTTTTGGTCGGAAACATTTTTCTTAGCTTGGGTGAAAACATATTTGGTTCTGGGTCTGTTTGCAAGCACGATCGTTTACAAAGGATGCCATTGGCTCCTATCATGCAACCGGCTTTTGCTTTGCTGTCTAAGGAGCTGAGCATTTACGCTCAGCCAGCCGCGGACATTGGTGTCCGCTTGCAAAGCTGGGGCAAGCAAAGCTGGGGCAGGCAGCGGGGCACCAAAGGGCAAAAGCGCTCCATATGGTGGCAAGACCGGCAGCAAAGCTGGAAGCGAACGCGCGCCGACGAGCCGCAGGAGCTCCCGATCGAGCCCGAGGAGCCCGATGAGCCCGATGAGCCCGATGAGCCCGATGATGCGGTTGTGCAGCCAGCCCCTGCGCCAGCAGTGGTGCCTAAGGCGCCGACAGCGCCGCTCGCGCCACCTGTGCCTAAGGGCACGGCAATGCCTAAAATGCCATCCGCTTCTGTGGATGGGCCCGGGGCGATACCTAAGATGCATACCTAAGATGCAGGCAGCCGATGATGGGGCGGCGCCTAAGATGCCGGCAATGCCGGCAATGCCTGAGGCATCTCCAGCAGCTCCTGCAGATGGGGCGGCTCCGGGGATTGAAGAGAGCAGTGACCAGGATCCTATGTTAGTTTCACATTATTGGATCAGTCCGGCTTTCATACGTGCATTCGAGATATTAGAAGATTTGCAAGAATGGATGTAATTGTCTGCCATCATTCTTGGCTTTGAAATTTGTTGTTTCCCTGGCAGGAGTCGCATGCTGGTCGATGAGGCCAACTACGCTCCTTCCATTTTGAGCCAAAATGGTTGCGGACTTAAGGCACTGGTAAGGGTGTCTATGTGGCACGCATGCAATGGAGATAAAAAGGTTCTGGGGGAGGGGTTGACATGTCATTGAAAACATTGATTACAATATGAGTGTTTCATGGCACACGATATGTTCACATGTCATGATGTTGTTTCAAAGGAGCTACTAGCTCCTGCAATATCATGTTGGACTTGCATACAAACAATATATTCGTTATACTTGGCCCCCAAAAAAGGAGCTGCCAGCTCCTGCAAAAGAGAGAGGGAGGGGTAGACAAAAAAAAAGGAAGGCTGTATTGCCAACGAGACATGGCTTGATACATTAAGATACAACACTATTAGACACTTTGGTTCAGGAGACTTATGGCTCCTCTCATGTTTTATTGATGGAGGCAGTTGAAAATAAGTAAGAGAGTTTTCATGAAACCCAACACTTTGGACTTCAAAGGGACATTTCAATCACAAATGGATGTTGATGGGATATAAACATATTATATATGACTCACAAAAGATCGACTGGAATACGGATATTGTTCAATGGATGTAGTGCATACAAAAAAAGTAATATCTCATGGTTCCAACATTGTGTTAGGCAAGATTGGGGTAAACCGATGCCAGGAGACTTCCTGCACAGCAAGGAGATCGCGGGAGAGGAAAAGAAAGCCTAGTTGGCTGCCACAGAAAGAGAGTGGGAGGGAACAATTCGTTTTCGATATCGGAAGTATTGTTCGGGATGACACAACCAAACATTGTTATGGCATGAATGTTGTTTTGAGTTGAATCAAAAGGAGCATTATGCTCCTATAATCCTTGATTGATGGCGATTATCAACATCAAGAACAGTTTGCTACTGGGATACTTGATGGGTGTGATCATCAACAGAAGGAGCAGTTTGCTCCTGGGATACTTGATGGGTGTGATTATCAACAGAAGGAGCAGTTTGCTCCTGGGATACTTGATGGGTGTGATTATCAACAGAAGGAGCAGTTTGCTCCTGGGATACTTGATGGGTGTGATTATCAACAGAAGGAGCAGTTTGCTCCTGGGATACTTGATGGGTGTGATTATCAACAGAAGGAGCAGTTTGCTCCTGGGATACTTGATGGGTGTGATTATCAACAGAAGGAGCAGTTTGCTCCTGGGATACTTGATGGGTGTGATCATTAACAGAAGGAGCAGTTTGCTCCTGGGATACTTGATGGGTGTGATCATCAACAAATATTAATTACTAGGTCAAATAATAAAAGGATCAAGTTGCTCCTGTGTTGGTAGGGAACTTCACCAAACAAAATAGTATGGGTATCAACTAGGAGAATGCTTGTTAAATTGATGTTAAATTTTAACATCCATTTAACATCATTTAACATCCAATTAGCTTTAAAAGTAAAT